TTTGTGGCCAAGGTTTTTTTGATGCCATTTCTGTACCATTTTCAGGACTGGTGGTGTGTGGTTGTGGTTCTTGGACTTGACCATAACTGCATGTAAACTGTAGCTGCCAAGTGACTGGGATCAGCTTTTCTCTTCTTTTGGGGACATCCTCCAGGATGCTCCATGGTGCAGGGAAGCTGAAGTCACCATTAATCTTGATCATGCTAGATTGGCAGGATCTGAAAGAAGGGAAATCTGAGCGCCACACCTAATCCTGTCACTGTGTCTTTCTGGTCTCCGGCATCACCTTTTTGGGTGGATCTTCTGTTTGGAATATCCTGAGCCTACTTGGCTCTCAGCCAAGCAGTCCGTGCCTGCACTGGGGACTGACAGAAATGGAAAGGGAGCTCCTTGGATGGATGTGCTCCCTGTCCTGTGTTGCTGTGGCCCAAACCAGGGAAAAGAGTTGAACACTTAGTTAGCAAAGGACACACTCAAACTGAGTATTCTGACACTAGAGATGGACTATGTAAAGGCTGAAAGGAACTAGGCGAGAAGGAGCAACTGGAATTGTGTGAGTTCATTCAAATGGCTTCTGTCATCTATGGACAGGTATATATGAAAGGGGTGGGGAGGACAGGAGAAATGGCTTGCACAGAGCTGTGTTTGCCAAAATAACAGCATGAAGCAACTGAACCAACTTAGTCAGAATCAGGTCTTCAGAGAAGGATAAAGGGAAGCGAGTAAACAAGTCGCTGGCTAGTTTACCTTAGACACAGAAGTAAGGGTGCTGGGCTAAGGTCTGTCAGAGAGATGCAGGAAGTAGATGGACAAGGAAAGAGAGCACTAGGCACCCAGCTCCAGGAGGCAGCCTTACTTTCATTTCAGAGATGCACATTGTGTCCACAGCCTTACAGACTACGAGTATCCAATATGGGAATAGAATTGGGTTGGTTGGTCCATCCATCCATCCATCCATCCATCCATCCATCCATCCACTCACTCAGAATGAAGTGAGTGGATGGATGGACCAACCAACCCAATTCTATTCAGAATGGGGTTTCTGTGTGCTCCACAGTGTGGGATAGAATCGTGAATGAGACAGAGAGGTCTCACTCTCATTCTAGCAGCTGATGGAGTGAGTCAGTCAATACAGAAGTAAAGACTCAAGCGAACAAAATAGTTTCAAATAGAGATAAGTACTAGGGACTAAATAGAGGATGCCATCTGGCTCATGATGTGGGACATAGTCCCTGAAGAGCTCACTTGGGCTGAGCCTGCAGGGATAGCAGGCGAGGCTGAGCTGGTGACCCAGGCCCCCGATCTCCCTCTGGGTATGAAAGGTCTTTCCTTTCCCAAGGATCTTAAAATCATAGCAGACAGAGGAAAGCAAGAAGGTAGCAAGGAGGCAGGGGTGCTGAAGTCATATGGCGGTCCCCAAGTGGAGCGAGAAGACATTCCCGTTCACTTTCTTCCCGTCTCTCCTAGGAATACTACAAAAGTCAGAAAGTGATGATGGCAATTGTCTTGGAGGTCCCAGGAGAGCTTGACAAGAGGAGTAGGAGTCAGAATAATATCTTCTAATAAGAATGTTCACAGTGCTGTTAGATAACACTTAATCGCCTTTTCTTAGTGCTCCAAACACTGCTGAGCTCTTAGGGAGCATTGAGTCACTTGAGCCTCATGATAACTCTAGGAGGTGGGCATGTTACTCTTATTTATAACAAAGGAGACACTGAGGCTTAGGGAGGTACAACAACTTAGCCAATCTCACACAGCGGGTACCTGGTAGAAGATGCTCTTAACCCTCTGGCTCTGAGACCTTCCACAGGCTTCCACCAATTGTACAATCTTTGATCTGGAAGTAGCCTTAGATGTTATCAGGACCAGAGAGTTCTGACACAGTCCTTTTCCCCAGGATAAGCTTCTCTCTTTTAATAGATGGAGAAATTCATCTGATGATCATGCTGGAATGTGGATCCTGAGTTGTCCTAGCTTCTATTTAAATGCCCAGTCTCAATCGCTGTCTCAGAGAGCCCAAACCCCCGGCCCCTGTTCCTTGCAGGCGTTTTAATCCACTGAGCTATTTGGCCAGCCCTAACCCTCAATTCTTGACTAGGAGACCCTGGCAATAGTGATGAGATAGAACTGCAGGGACCAAGAGGGGAGAAACAAGCATTAAATAAAATAATGCACATACAGCTCTCTGTACAGTGTTTAACACACAGAGTATGCAGTACCCGTTAGTGGTTTTGAGCAAATTCACACAGCCAGTTTCTGAGTTCTGGGATGAAATTAGCCAGGCTGTGAATGGAGAAGGGAAATCAAAATACTTGGGAAGGAAGGTGCTTCTCCCTGGGTTTACCACCTCACTGATTTGCTGCAGGCCTTGCCCAAGGGCATCTCTTCAGTGCAAGTAAAATGTGGTTGAAAACCTTGTAACTCATCATTACAATTGAATGTGTAGGGCTGGAGAGATAGCTCAGTGATCTAAGTGCCTACCTGGCAAGTGCAATGACCCGAGTTCAAGAATGAGTACTGCATGTGAGTGCACCATGCTAGCCACAAAAACTGGGCATGGTGGAGCACACCTGTAGTCCCAGCACTGGGGAGGCTGAGACAGGAGGATCACTACAAGTCCGAGCTGCTTAGTGAGACCCTGTACCAAATAAATAAATAAAGTAACCAAACCAAACCAAACAAACAAACAAACAAACAAAAAAACCTGAGTGTGTAGGAAAACAATTGCTTGCCCCAAATTAGTGACTTACAGTTGCTCTTGGTTGTATGAGTTGCTCCTTAATTATAGACTCTCTTTGACCAGGCAAACACAGGGCCTATCAGAACTAGAGAGCAAACTCTCCACACAATCCTCCCATGTGCATACTGTCCCTTTCATTTAGAGTATAAACACTTATCTCTTACTCATTTGCATAATGAATTTCAGCTCCTTGTGTCTCCGTTAAGGAGGGGCCTTAGGAGAGTTGTGCATCTGTGTCTTTCTGCTTGATGCTCCTTTCAGAGGGGATGTTTTACAGGGAGAAGATGCCAGCAAAAGGCACCCTGCCCAGCTGCAGCAGTACCAGCCTTCTCTTTCCTTCCTGCCTTCTCTTTCCTTTCTTCCAGACTCTGCAGGGATAGAAGGCGAGGCTGAGCTGGTGACCCAGGCCCCTGAGCTCTGCTAAGACCGCCAGACTCTGCAGCACTTCTCACAAACTCTCCAATTCTTCCACTCTGCCAAGTTTAGGCTAAAATCACCACACACTCTTCTCCTGTTGGTTTTCCTCTTGTGAACTCAACTCAGGGCCCTTTTGTTCTGGAAATGGTTTCTAGGTATCATGAGAGATAGAAAAGTCCATGCCAGCTCCTTGTCTTTCTTTCCTCCTTGTGAAGAAGTGGTTTCCGCTGGGTGTGATGCCATAAGCCTGTAATCCCAGCATTTGGGAGGTTGAGGCAGGAATTCGAGGCCAGCCTGTGTTACAAACTACAGAGCCAGACCTTATCTCAAAACAAACAAACAAACAAACAAACAAACAAATTCTAGCAGCCAGTCGCAGCTTTTGGTTAAAGATCACAAGAGATAATCTTTTTTTTTTTCTTATTTTTTAACTTTTTTTATTGAGAAACAAATAGCAATGAGACAGTTTCACAACCAATTACTAGTACATTGTCAACAATTAATACATTGCATATTGTTGTCTTAGTGGTTACACATTGTATAAGATGAAGACCTGATATCCTGTCTCAAACACTATTAGAACAAACCTCTCTATTAATTGAATTAAGAGAATGGAGCTGTATATCTATCCTAACTATTTGAAGTATACAGATACAAAATGGTCGTTCATTTGTATCCCCCTTTTTTGGTTAGTTTTGTCAGAGAAGGGCATCCCATTATCATTTAAATACTGTAGGTGCATGAATTAATGTTACAAGGTCTGAATAGAAAACCCACTACTTATGGATTATTGGACCATATTGGGATATTTTGCTGAATTTATGCACAAGAGATAATCTTAAGAAGGTACAATGGCTAACATTTCTATCTTCTGCACCCTGTCCCCCCTCCCCATCTGGGGGCAGGAAGACCACCTTTTTATGCTATCTACATCTCCCCAGGGGCTGAATGCTGGTAAATGTTTGTTAAGGGCTCATTTCCCCACCTGCAGCCCTCACTAGTAGCATTTGCTATACAGTCTGTGTTTAATGACTGAGTGTGGGTCCCCTACTTGGTCATTAAATGAATCAGTCACTAAATGAGGAATTGTATATAGTATGTACATTACAACATTCAGAACAAATAAGTGGTCAAAGGAAACTCCACCTAGCGACTTTGCTTTTATTTGGACAGCTCTCACATGCACTCTACTGTAATGTATAACAACATAAAACTACACGACTGCACATTACAATGAACAAAAATCATGGTACTGTGTATGCTGTAGAGGGAACCAGCAGAAGACTGTACTACCCCTCACCTTGGTGCATTGCAAGCCCAATGGAGGGCATATGTCTGAATAGTCATTAAACAGTATGTTTTTAAAAATGAGGCACATCTGTACAGAAGTACATACTTCAGGCAGCCCTCATGACACCCCTAAATGTGGAGTAGGAGGTCATGTAGTAGCCCTGTTCTATTTTCAGCCCCTCTGCTCTCTTTTGGGGAGCTGCTGAGCTTTTGAAAGTTTTTGCTTCTGATGGTTCAAGACCATAGACAATAGTCAAAAAATTTATTTATTTATTTTGCGGTACCAGGGATCAAACTCAGGACCTTCCGCTTGTCAGGCAAGCTCTTATTCCACAGAGCTATCTCCCCGGCCCAACTGAACAATTTAGAAACAACGGGCTTTGAGCGTTTATCAACTTTTTTTTTTTTTAAATGCTTTCTTTTAAGAAAATGTATATAGTTTAATTTTTAAAAGAATGGCTATGTTAAAGAGTTGGCTGGCAGAACTCCCCCGAAGTTGCCAGCGTGCACCAGCCCTTCTGATATACCACTCAGCCCAAGACCAGACAAGGGATTCCCACGTTTCTGGGAAGTCGCCCTTCGGGCAATAGGACATTTATGAGGGGTGGGGGAAAGCGTGGTTCTGGGTCGCTGACTAAAAAATAGCCGAGACAGACAGCAGCTTGAGGTTCGAGGCGGGCTGGCCAGGGGCCAACAGAATATTCCTTCTTCACTGCCGCTGCCCCCAGAAGAAGGCCAAAACTCAGGAAGAACTCAGGTGCCCCCAGGGGCAGAAGTAACTTACAAGCTCAAGCACTGGGGCGTAACCTAGGGCAAAACGCGCTCCATGAGCTTCCCTGCGGCCGTTTCTTGGGCCAGCCCCCGCCTCCAGCCTCAGCGCCACTCCCTCTCTGCCAAGTGGCTCTCTGGTCTGGAGGCGGGACCGAGCTTTCGGGTGGCCCCTGGAGGATTGGGGCTGTGAGCTCTGGAGGCTGGAAGGGGAGAAGGGAGGGGCGAGGACTGGGCAGTCCAAAGAGGAGGGGGCCTTTAATAGGCTCGCCCAGATCTTGGGTTGCTGCGCTGCGAGTGGCTGCGGAAGAGAAGCCGTCCGGCACCTCCCGCCAGCTCTCCGCTGCAAATTCTCCGCCTTGCACTTGACAGCGGTTGCACTTAAGCTCCCAGGGCGCACTTTGATTGGAAAGGCACAGGTAGGAGGCGCGGGCTGCGGGTGCACGCTCGCTGCTCTGGGAGGTGTCTCTGTGACTCGGTAGGCTGTACTTTCTGGGAGCTGCCGGCTGCCCCGGAGTGTTGGTGGTTCCGCGGCGCGGGCTGCAAGGAGACCGGTGCACTTTGCCGGGGAGCCAAGCCAGCCCCTTTGCAGAGCGCGGCTGTACGCTTCCTGGCGCCATGCTTCTCCTGAGCATCTTAACCCTGGCTCTGGCTGGGCGACCCGCTGGCGGCTCGGACACAGACCGGGAGGTCGTCATCCCCATCCGACTGGACCCGGACATCAACGGTCGCCACTACTACCGGCGAGGTCCAGAGGGTTCCGGGGATCAGGGACTCATTTTTCAGATCGCAGCCTTTCAGGAGGACTTTTACCTACACCTGATGCCAGATGCTCAGTTCCTGGCTCCCGCCTTCGCCACTGAGTACCTGGGCGATCCTCTGCAGGAGCTCGCCGCCAGCGCTTTAGACCTACGACGCTGCTTCTACTCGGGAGACGTGAACGCCGAGCCGGACTCGTTCGCCGCCGTGAGCCTGTGCGGAGGTCTCCGGGGCGCCTTCGGTTACCGCGGCGCCGAGTATGTCATTAGCCCGCTGCCCAACGCCAGCGCGCCGGCTGCGCAGAGCAACAGTCAGGGCGCGCACCTCCTCCAGCGCCGGGCAGCCCGCGGCCGGGCCGCCGGAGACCCCGCCTCCCGCTGCGGGGTGGCCTCGGGCTGGAACCCCGCCATCCTGAGGGCCCTGGACCCTTACAAGCCACGGCGGACGGGCGTAGTGGGCAGCCACCGGCGGCGCAGTCCCGGGCGCGCCAAGCGCTTCGTGTCCATCCCACGCTACGTGGAGACGCTGGTGGTAGCGGACGAATCGATGGTCAAGTTCCACGGCGCAGACTTGGAGCATTATCTGCTGACGCTGCTGGCGACGGCGGCGCGACTCTACCGCCACCCAAGCATCCTTAATCCCATCAACATCGTCGTGGTCAAGGTGCTACTCCTCGGAGACCGGGACAACGGGCCCAAGGTCACCGGCAACGCGGCTTTGACGCTGCGCAACTTCTGCGCCTGGCAGAAGAAGCTGAACAAAGTGAGCGATAAGCACCCCGAGTACTGGGACACCGCCATCCTCTTCACTAGGCAGGTGAGTTGTGTCACTCCCTGGACCCAGTCAGCCTCGTTCGCTTACAGTCACCTTTCTTAGCTCTGCAGATCCCTTTCCTGCCGCGCACTGCCCAGAGTTTAAATTCCATCGATCTCCTCCAACCCCAACCTTAAAACTTAGAGGAAAAGCCTGCTCGCAGGCTTAGCGGAGCTCCGGCTGGCGTGTATCCGGGCTGCTCTCCTTCCGAAGGTGTTGGCCTGCCGCGACCAATCAGCGCCTCGCAAATCGGGCGCGCAGGGGCCGGAACCCAGGAAGTTGCCGCCCCGGTCCCGCAGTTTGTCTGCAAGGCCGATAGGAGGCGCCATGAGGATGGTATTGGAGAGGGCGAGAAAGGCTATCCCTCTTATATGAGGCGCCTAAATCCTCTCTGACACCTCCTCAGAGGCTTCCTGTCGCTGCCTGTGGAACTGGCGAAGGTGACCCGAGGTCAGCATCTGCTATATTTCTAATGGGTGACATGTTATCCTCTCTGTCCTGGGCCCCTGGAAAACTTGGAGTGGGATGTAAGTAATCATTGAGAGATTTTGAGGGTTGCATGAAAGACCAGACTCAAGTACCTATGGGAGGATCTCTTCTTCAATCCTGGGTCTCCTCATCCTTCTCGCTGGCCCTGTCTAGCCGCTTCTAGGCCATTGCAAGCAGACCGCTAAGTTAGGGCACCTGTTTAGAACTGGGACCGTTTCACTGACAGCTGAGCTGGGAAAATCTCTTTCAATTTTTCCCCATTCTTGTTACCAAGGGGTGGCCCATTTGCTTGGTTGGTACAGAGCAGAGCAGACAAGGGCGCTCATGATCCCCCCTAAAACTCCTGCACCTCCCGCTCCAATACAGCTTTCCAGCTTCTGCCTTGCTGGTGTGGAAGCCATGGAAGAGTAGTCAAGAGCGTTTGAAGATGCCCGCTGCAGGGCTGGAGGATCATTAGGAGTAGACAGATGGCCCCCAGCCAGCCTTTTGCAATCTTTACCTGATACTCTATCTCAAAGAAGCTATGAATCTGCGAATAGTCAGGTTGAAGGTGTTGATGTAGTTGGATGCTGTGAAGTGTTTGGATTCTTGGAATTTCTTAGATACAGGAGACTGGGAGGAAAAGGGCTATCCAAGTGACCTGCTTCCTCTGATTTTGGGGGCTGCGACCTGAATGAGTGCCTTGCTCTTGTTTTGTCATTATCATAATAAGCACAGCGTCTTGGCGGTGGTACAGGATCACCTCTGGGGCTCTCAGTCTCCACTGTTTCCAAATGACCACGCGAAGCTGGTCTGCCGCCCACAGGCTGGAGCTGGAGTCTTCTACAGTAACCCATTTGGCACAGCTAGTTCTTCTCTGGAGTTGAACTTCCTCCTTTCCCAGTCATCTTCCCCTCCCACCACCTGGTTTCTCTAGGGAGTCTTGGCGTGAGTCTTGTTTCCTTGTGCTCATTCTTCCAACTGAGGTCCAGCTGCCTCTGCTCAGCTCCTACAAGCACTGCCTGAGTCATGGGGAAGCTGCAAAGGAAGCAGCTTCGGCCTCAGCACAGACCAGCTCTGCAGTTGGATTGGTGGGGGAAAGACAGCAAAGGCCAAGAACAGGATATTTTAATGGGAAAAGCAGCTGTTGCCCCATCTGCTACCCAGGATGCCACTGCGGAGACTGCTCACTGGCTCTAACGCAGCCAACCTCAGCCTCCTCTGCTTATTGGTGAAGGCTAACTTTTAGAAGCAGCCCCAGGAGGAAGAGCCCCTCTGGGAATAAGGGCCATGCCATCAGAGAGGTCCTCCCTTTTGAAGAAGCAGTCAAACAAACAGCACGACAGCTTCTGTTTCTCGGGGCTGTGTTGTCCGAGCATAACAGGTACAAGATGCACGACCACTTGGGTCAGAAGTGGAGATGCGCAAGATGTGACTTTCAGAAGCTGTTTCTCCCATAGACATCTAAAGGGCGAAGTCAGAACGGGGAGGCTGTGCTGGCAGGTCTAAGATCCAGGTATGTGTGTTATGCCGTGGGTAAACATCTTTCCCCCACTCCTTTGCCAGCGCAGATCTAGGGGCCTGCTGCATTCTCCGAGTCTTAGCAACTTCTCATTCCTGAGCTCCCTGGGGGGAGGTAGAGAACTGGATACGAACACAAGCCAACAGCTGCGCTTTCTAGACTAAGGCAGATGTGGTCTCCAGGAGCCCTAATTGTCCAGAACAGAGGATGCATTGATCACACAACAAGCATTTTGACAATCTGAGGAGTTTATTTAAAGACAGAGTAAGTTCAAGCAGCAAGAGCACACATCTGATTCTGCAAAGCAATCAGCCTCCAGGCTCATAACAGCGGGGTGAGGTCAGCCCAGGACTGGAACGAAGGTCTGCCGGGAATTAGGGCCAGAATCTTTCTTTTATTTCTGCTGTTGTATGGGATAGCAAAAGTCAGGTACGGACTGCTGAGACTCAGTAGGCCCTCATTTGCTGGGACTTCCTTGTCTTTAGGTCCAGTGCCTCTGCCGCGTGGGCGCTTTGTGGAGCTAGCTTTCACCCACGGATTGGTGCGTTCTCTTCATACTTAGCGAGCGAGCTATTTCCAGGAGCTCTTGTGGGCTGGTGCTGCACTATTAGGAAGATATTAGGAAGATATGGCCGGTCATCTGCAGGGGTTAACTGTGTGACAAGGGTCGCAGAGGGAAGCAGCCAGCTGCACTGTGATGTGCTAAGTCCTGAGACAGAGGCCTGCGGCCCTCTCTGGGGACACTGGATGGGGACAGTCACCTCTCTGCAAGCATGTGAGCCTCGGATGCCCAGGAAAGGACCAGGCTGCAGGCAGGGCCCCAGGCCCAGAAGCTCCTGGAACAGGGAAGAAAGGTTGCTTTCTGAATTGCGGGACACCTGTATTTCCTCCACCATCTGTTTTGCTTTTTGTGACATTTCTTCTTTTGAGATGACTTTGTTTTCATGTTTTATGACATGTAGTTTCTGTTCTTCTGCCTACTTACTCTCATTTTTCCCTGTGGTGTTGCTGTCACTTTCTGTCAGTCTCTTTTTCTTTCTCCCCTTCTTTCCTTCCTCCTGTTTTGGGATTCCCTGGGCAAGATGTTTCTCTTCTCTTACTTCATTCATCCCTTAACCTCTCCCCAACCCCAAATTCAACCCTCAACTTGGAGGCCTCGTCAAGGAAAAGTTCTAGGGCGCACGGGGGCAGCATCCGGAGCTTCATGTGGCAGAAGCCACCGTCTTCTATGGTGAAGCATTCGCATCTGGGCGTGTTGGCACATGACTGCAATCCCAGCACTCTAGAGGCTGAGGCGGGAGGGTCACTGTGAGTTGGAGGCCAGCCTGGGCTACACAGTGAGTGACTCCAGGCCAGCCTGAACTGCATAGTGCATAGTGAGACCCTGTCTAAAAAGAAGCCCTTGAAATAGAGCACCATATTTAGCATTCATGTTAAAAATGAAAATAAAGTGATTATATATATTTTATATCCATGTCCCATATGATAAAAAATCATGATTTCATTATGATCTTTTTTTTTTTTTTGAGATAGGGTCAGAGGAAATCAATCTTTCTTCCTTTCTCTTCCTCTTTCACTTCTTCACTTTTCCTTCTCTCCCCTACTCGCTCTCTCTTTTTTTTCTTCTATTCCGTTTTTTAGGGATGAGGATTTGTTGTCCAGGGTGGTCCCTGAGCTCAAGTGATTCTCCTGCCTCAGCTTCCTCAGCTACTGCCTCAGTAGCTGGGCCTGCATGTGTGTGCTGCCGCATGTAGCTTCCTTCTGTTTTAGCCAGTGGCTTAGTTAAGAAGAGGAGGAAGGTCTTTCTTCATCCCCCTTTCCACTTCTCTGCAGCTGCCACTGTCTCCAGCACTTCCCCGGCCTCGTCCTGACACCTTGACTGGGTCAGGCACGTGGCGTTCTGGAAGGAGACCAGGCTGGAGTCACACAGAGTGGAGTCTGGGTATCTGCACTTGCACTTGTTAGCAGCGGATCCTGAATGAGTCAGCTGCTCGCTGCTCACTTTCCCCTCCATGGAATGAGGCCAACCGTGGTGACGCGGTGACACCTAACTGTGAGCCTCTTTCAGGGATCAGTTGCACAGTGCCTATGAGACCCTGTCTTAAAAAAAAGCACTTGCAGTAGAGCACCACATTTAGTATTCATGTTAAAAATGAAAATAAAATGATTATATGTATTTTACATCCATCTCCCATATGATAAAAAAATCATGATTTCATTATGATCCTTATTTTTTTTGAGATAGGGTCAGAGGAGATCAGTCTTTAAAAAGAGGTACACCGTGCTGGCAGCTGTTCAGATCACTGCTTCAGGGACTGCTCAGGTTGTGCCACTTCCCACTGAACAGCTACCTCTGGACCCTTGTCGGAACGTAAACTTGGGCAGTCCTCATTTAAAGCCTTGTGCCCCATTGCCCTCGCAAGTGCGTGCTGTGCTTGTCTGACGACGCCTTCCTGTGCTTGAATGGAAGCCGATCCCACTGGTCTGTAACACCCCTAAGACAGCAGCCTCTTTATGACTCCGCAGTCCCTACCCCAGGCCCCTGCATTTTATTAATTAATTAATTAATTAATATTTTAATGAGAAAGAAATAGCTGAGACAGTTTCAAAACAGGTTAGTAGGACAGTTCCAATAATTAATACATTGCATATTGTTGTCTTCGTAGTAGTACTTGCATTCACAGTACAAGATGCAGACATGATATCTTGTATAAACAATATTAGTACAAATCTTTCTTCTCACTGAACTAAGAGAAAGTAGCTGTGCATCTATCCTAACTGTTTTCTATATACAGATATACATATTAAAGTTAGGTAAGTGTGTGGAAGGAGGCTGCCTGTCGCTGGGGTGCCTAGGTGGTTTCTCTCCCTTCTTGGCATTATTAAACCAGCTTTCCAGCTGTCAGGCTGGAACATCGGGAGTGGGAATCTTGGGTTCTTCTGGCATTTTTTGGCTCTTTGGCATCAAGTTTTGCCCTAGAGAAGGGCAGGGCCCCAGAGAGGAGCACGTTTA